TTGTTAAGTGCATGCATACACGTTAAACTCTTTTGTACGTGATGCAGAGGTACGTAGCATAAATTGTTGACATGCTCATGAACCAATTTTATCAATTTGAAATATGGTGTGTGCAATGCGCGTTGCTGCAGTAACAGACTCTGACAATGTTCACGCCGTCGTGTGTTTCTCGTGCTTGCACACACACATGCATGCGAGTCGTCCAAATTCAATTTCCAAAAGTGGTCGCATCAAATCTAGGGGCTAACCACGGATTTTTTATTGACAAAATCTGTTTTTATCGCCCAATTTTAATGACATCCGTGAAAAATTGAAAAAATCTGTATACATGTATTGAATTTTATCGTTTAATATCGACTATAAACGTTTAATGTGCTGACGTCATTGCCGATTCAAAAATGCTGGAAGTGGGTTTTCGTGGATCCTCAGTGGATCGTTTAGTACTGCTCCCGGTTCTAGAAGTGGATCCTCAGGATGGGCCAGGGCATTGTCAAACCCAGTCTGGTCCATCCTGAAGATCCACCAAAACCCACTTCCAGAATCGGGAGTAGTTCTGAACGATCCTGAGGATGCACCAAAACCCGCTTCTAGAACAGTATGCATTCGTTAAAGTGAAAAAAATTCCTGCAAAAATCGGGAAAAATCGACCAAAATGTGATCATATCGGAATTTATTTGTTTAAATGATAAAAAAATGTTAAAGTCGGTCATTATTGGTTATTTTTAAAACCGTGGTTAGCCCCTAGCATCAAATAGGCAATGCATACGCTCTAAATCTTGAAAATTCGACGTTTTTCATATCGCTTTTCTGGAGAAAGAGATCGCGCGAATTCTACGGACTCAAAAAAAAAACAACAAGAGAAGACGGCAAAAATATACTTGGGCAATCCATTTAAGCGACACTCTGAATGAGCAAGTGAGTTTCCGAGGCGGTTTATACCTCTATGCATGCAACACCAATTCGAAATATGTCGTGCAAATGAAACAAAATACACAAGCACATGGGCTGAAGAGAAGCAGCAGCAAAAGACCTATTTAGTGTTTACGTTTCTTACATAACACGCTATTTTTCCGAAATAAAAATGCGAAAATGATCACTTTTTATGCAATTTCCACATCACACACACATTTTGTCGTATTTATTTTTGCACGTTAGAAAATTATTCGGCATTTTTCGTGTGTAACATACGTTACAAATGCGTGGGTATGGATTTTAAATCGCGTACTTAATAAATAATTTCGAGCAAACAATTTATCATTTTCTTTTCGTTTGCGATCGCAGCTTAAATGAAGTGTTTCAAAACGTGTTCACTTTTTTTCTGCATCCCAGAGAGATAGAGACAGAGAAAAACAAGAAATAAGCTAAATAAGAAGTCTTGCGCTATACTTTTTTTTATCTATTCCTCTCTCTATTTTGGATGTTAAATGTTACGGAGAAATTCCAATAATTCATGCAAACACCTAATTTTGCTGCCGCCCCAAGAAACGATTGACAGCAGAACGTGTGTGTTAGCACACCAAAAATCGAACGCACATATTTCCTAGTGCATTTCATGTTTGACGCCTTATGTGAATCGAAAAGCAAAACAAAAACGCATTCATGAAAAATCATCTGTTCGCTGGTTGCTGTTGCCGGGCAAAAAGGTCGGATATCACAATAAATTTGGCACACAGCTAGATGTTTGCGTTCAATGTTCGAATTTTCGATCAAATATCTGCGCACGTTCGATATTTCTGGAACCAATGCAACTTAATTACACATGTACGCTCGTTTTCATTATGCATCCAAATTTTAACGGCTCCACAAAGTGCTAAAAATAATAACGACACAAATATAAATGGTCGGTATTTAAGCACATGCTCGCGCCACGATCACATAAAAAAGACGCGAAAAATGAATGCGACGGGTTCTGGACAACCTGTGCTTCTCTCCCATAAGAACCAATGTATTTGACGTGACAGTGAATAGCGGTAGCGCCTAAATAGGATCTGTGGCAACTTAATGAACTATCAATACTTCTTGTTGTTGCGAAATTCATGACAACAACAACAAGTATTGATAGTTCTTAAAAATTCCGCAAATTGCGAATAGGCGCCACCGCTATCTTGCGCCGGTCAAAAGCACAGTTTGGTTCTGGAATATTGAGACGTGGACTATGGTTTCGTGTAACCGGAATTTAATGAGCATTGAAATAAATATTTCATGCTCCCAATACATCAGCTGCAGTTGTATCGACGACGACGCTACGACGACGGCAGCGGTGGCATAAGTTGAAGACGAAATCACTGAAACGAAAATATGATTGATCCCTTTCGATTGATTCACAAAATAAAAGAAGTAGTTGTGGTAAAGAAGAAGCCGTAACAGTCAACACACAAACCGGCAATTGGAAAATCGACTCGATTTGAATGCAAAAAAGCTACAAAATGGTTTCGCCTTTTTCCACTTCATTTTTCTTCATCATCATCTTCATCTTCGGTGTCTTCGTTTTTATTTCTGTTTTTGAAAGATTCGAATCGGGAAACAAAATTGCTGATTTTTCTCAAACAACTTCTACAAAAGCAAGCGAAAACCAGCTGCTAATTTAAAAGACATAAAAAAATCAGTGTGTGTGATATACTTTCACTTCAATCGTTGCTTTTTTCTCCTTCTTCTTCTTCTTCTGTCTTGTTGCTGCTTTATTCCAACAAACGTGATTCGCCGTGTCGTCTCTGTGTGCTTGTGCTTGTTGTGCGGCGCACGCTGCGTTTTATTCCGAAACACAACATAAAATGAATCGCGTACAATGCCAAAGTGGCTGGAAAACAAATGAGACAACACGAACTGTGTGTTTGCAAAATGCTACAATGTTGTGTGTACACGATTGAATGATTGCTGACAGCAGAAAAGATGGAATTGCTATGAGCATCTCGGATTTAGCGACAAAAAACACTCATTTCGAGATCAGTGATAATTGTTCATTTCGATTTTCCCCGCTTCGGCTCTTGTTGATTCTATATTTCTGCACCGTTTGAACCAGTCACTGTGAGTCGTCTTCGATTCATTCTCATCGTGTGTTGTGTGTCGTCGTCGTCGTTTGCCGATCATCAGTGATGTTTTGCCATACTCTGCAAGCTTGATAAATGATAGACCGTCTGTCTGACGCTTGGCACAAATGATTTGTGTGGCAAACGTGAATCTTGATTTTTGTTTGCCATCTGGAAATAATTCATTGGCTAATTGCTTGGCTTCAGATTTTTTTTTCTCCTCCATTATTCACCGCCGTTTCTTCTAAACACTTTCAATAGTTGGGAAATGACAAATTGACTTTAAAAGCGAAATGCACTAAAGCAATCAGACAGTCGAAATTGTCGAAGTGGCGCGCGGGCAATCAGCGTCTCATTTTACCCAATCCCTAGCACATCGAACTGTCCCATGTGCGTGTTGTGTATTGCGTGCGTGTACGATCCACTGAGCTGTGGACGACCTTCAGTTCATCCGAATGGATGGAACAATAAGCGTACATCAACATTGTCAGTGCTGTTTCTCAATTAACTGCCGTCGGCCGTTTTCAATTTTCATCCACCAATTTACACACCGTACATACACACATACGCACATTAGAGCCGAAGCTGTGACAACAGACCGGTTCCATCCGATTACATTGTAACTACACATGAATTGTTTTTAGTTGATGGAATTTTTGTTTCTTCACTTCCACTAGTTTGCCATTTATGTTTTTTTTTTCGGGCTATTTTTATTTTATCATCGATGACATCAAACCAATTTTCCATTATTATTTATGTTAATGGAGTGTGAAATTCAATGCATATCATATTTATTCAAATTGGAAAGGGTTTTTGCTTATTTCTTATATAGCTATTATATTACTTTATGTAGAATTCCAGCGTCTTCTTCGCGGTATGAAAACCTTGAACTATTCACATTTGAAGATCAATCGGTGTGGGTGATTTTTGCAATGTCAATTTTTTTATCGTCAAAAAAAAACCATGTGTTTTATCATTTATAATCGATTTGGACTTTTCTGGAAACGCAAAAGATTCCTGTTAAATTGTCCGCCGGCCAAAAATGCAATAAAAGCAGCTGTGGGCTGCATTTTTACGATCTTCTTCAGTGCAATTCCCAAGGAAGTGGATGTATACCCAAACTGCCGCCGACTTCAGATTTCAGGGTTGAGATATGTTTATATCTGTTGTACTTTAGGTGTCCTACAGTGTCCCAAAGTCGAATACGATGTGTACCAGTTTGGTTTCCTCGTAATTTGAGGTTCAATTTTTGAGCCATTCCAATTTACCGCACATATGGAATAAAACGACACCCGTTGCTTCTGTTAGGCATCCCATGGTTTATAATAATTGTCCCTGAAGTGTTCCTAAAGAAAAAGACTTCCAGACTTGAAAAATCTTGACCGGAAGTCAGTAAAAAGCAATTCTTAAAAGTTTAGAGTTGACATAAAATGGTAAAATTTTTAAAATGATGATAAATGGTGCTACGTATGGTTTATTAAGGATAACAATTGCTTTATTTATGTGAAGAATTCCAAACTATTCTCGCATCCGATAAGCAAATGAATGGAGGCGGTAAAATTGACCAATTAAATCGGTATTGAATGGTTCAGGAAGTCAAATTTATTCGCTTGTCGAGCAAAAAAAAAAAATAGTATAAAAGCAAATTGAAGTGAGTCGGCGTGCTAATTAAAGTTCGTTTACTTGAAACCAAAGCTTCCAAACACCACAAACACAGAAACATATACACATCCATTCCATTCATATTGGCCCAATCAAGGTCTGCAACGCAACGTCTCCAATCTGATGTGAAATAAATGTTTTGTTTATAGTATCTGTTTTTTCTCTTCTCTTCTGAATGTCAACATGGATTTGTGGAACATACGTTATTTTGAAATGCACTAATAAGTACTAAGTTATACATTTGACCGTCAACATTTGAATCTATTTCATGGTGGCATTTTTTCTCTTTCTCTTTCTTTTTTTTCTTTCCAGATATTGGGAAATGAGAAGTGACATGCGATGGCTGTTATTATTAACAGGTGAGTCAAACTGATATGCTGGTGATTTTTGTTTGCCGTTGACAACGTGGATTTCGCACCGGGGCACACGACATTTGGATGTGATAATTTCGAGATTGATTCAGCCATCGATCAAAAATTATGCGAATCTATTTGGAAATGAGAGCAATAATTTAACCTAGATTTGGAAATTGATGGGTAGTAAATTTGCAAGATTTGCGTGACCGGTTAAAAGCATAAGATGTTTAACTGTAGTATCGGACAGATCATTTTCATGTTGCTCTTTCCAACATCATAAAATACGCTTATTTCGCAGAAATACAAAAAAGCCAAGCAAATATGTATATACAAAGCGCGGCATTTGCATTTTATTGTCTGAATCTTCCAAGAATTTATGTATTTTGATTTAAAATGTCAGTCTGTTTGGTTTTTCTCAATTTGAATTTATTGCATTGATTTGTTATGTGTGTGTTTTTTTTTTCTCAATGATTATGTCATTTTTCTTTTCATTGGATTATTTCAGCCATAATCGGAATCGTAGGATGTGCTGATGCACTTAAAGCAACTTCATTGATCTTCGGCCGAGTACCAAATTCAAATAAAACAACCGCCGCCACAATACCAACAACGACCACCACCACATCAACAACGGTGGCCACAATCGATGGAGATCAAGAAATCAGCGATGACGAGGTGAGTAATACACCATGCAAATGAATTTCTCTGCGTTGTCTCCTCTGTTTATCATTCATGTGGTTTAATCTATCTATCTATTTATCGATCTGACCTTTGTCAGAGATATGCTGTGTCGATATGAGAAAATGATAATTTGATCCAATTGGAATGAATGATTTATAAATGAGGGAAGATGGGTCGAGGGGAGGTGGTTGTTTCGTCTTATGCGCGGTAAATGTCAGTGCAATTATTATTGGCAAATGCTCGATCGATGTTCTTCAAAACAAAACAAAACAAAACAAAAAACCTATATCGACCATATCCAAATATCTATTGTTGAATAAGAGTTGCATGAAAACAGAGGTCGACAATGAACTAATTACATATCTTATGTTTGCTGTTTGATAAGTTCAACTCGTTTCAATTCCGTCTTTCTATGGATTTGTATTGAGCAAGTCAACGACAGCGACGACGAGTGCATTGCATTCCAAAATTTATGTTTGTGGTTTATTATATTATATAAAAAAAAGGTTGAGTCGAGTCGATGCACGTTCACGTTAAACATTGTCATTCATTTAATCCAGTTATAGATTTTGGTTGATTTATTAAGCTTCAAAATTATGTCGATAGAGATTTAGCAAATCAAGCGAACATAAATAAAATAATTGATGTAATTCTGTTTGCTGTTGTTGTTATGCTTTTTTCTCTTCTTCTCTTCCACTAAATGTACTTTCACTATTACTCTGATCGGGCTGATTTTTTTTTCGAGAAAAAGAGCGCGCGCACACGCGGCATTAGTAAGTTGGAAAAATAATTTCGAAAGTCGAGCAATCAAGATTGACCATTTTGAGATAGTAAATTAGCTGTATTATGATCATTATCGATTTCTGGTTACAATGTTTCAATTTTTTTTGTGTGTGTGCGCGCGCTGTGAGTTTGTTTGTGGACCATTTCAAATATCGCGTTTTCAGTCTCAATCGATCCAAGTCCGATGATGATTGATTTACTAAAATCGGAATTGACCATATCGTCCACATTCATTAGGAATGGATTTTTTCGAGTCTTTTGCAGAGGCGCTGGCACATCGAAACATGATTTTTGTTTGAATGTTATCAAAAGGGGAAATCACGAAACCAATTGCAAATGTTTCTTTACCTTTTTTTCCCTTCTTCTTTTCTGTTTATATTTGGTTTTTTCTGCAAACTCCTCCTCAACCCAAAGTTTGAAAATCCAAGGTGCAAGAGAAGTTCAACGCGGTATCATTATTTATCTTGTGGAAATCGATTTCGAGAAAGTAAAGGAAAACAATGAATTTTCTCTCGCTCTCATCATCAGCCGCATCATCGGTAGATTCTATGAAATTATATTAATGATCTACTAGTTATTGGTTGGCGTGAGCAAACAAATTGAACTTTAATACGGTTATTGAATGTCTAGATTTCGTTCGCAATGTCCAAAAAAAAGCAGCAGCACAACCGTGCCGCAATTCCGAGATGCGCGTGATCATACAGAAACTAGCATTGCAAATTAATCAGCTATTCAAATATCGAATCGAATCAGTTATTGCTTACGGTTTCACATTATTGTCTACACCAAAATGGTAGTACGTGGTCGCGTACAAATCGCTTCCGCAATTATTGGCAAATGAAGACGACGTCAACGACGAGAAACCTCAACTTAATTTTGCACCGTCAAAATGAAATCCGCAACAAAAAAAAAAATTAATATTTCTCAACGAAAGAGAAACAGTTCGTCACTAGTTGAATGCAAACCAAAAGCATTTTGCGACCGAGTGAGATTTAGATCGATTCTTTAAGTATGCTACTGAACACAGTACAATACCTAGAAAACATGACAAATTTGTGGTCGAAACGAATCGCACCAATATTTCTGTTCAGTAATTCCCCACAAGCACTAATCGATACATTACGAAACGGTGCTGCAGATAACATAATGTTTTTCTTTCTATTTTCTTTTTCTTTTAAATACCGACTAAACTCCCAACCATTAAATAATCTGAGTCCACTAAAGGCAAACCAGGGACAGACACTCTGTGATTGAAACGAGACAAAATACCGAATCGCTGAAAGAAAGAGTAAATGAAATGGTTTTCAAAACCGGAACATAATGTTATTAATTACGTTGATAACATACTGACAAAATACAAAGAGAGCCGTAGCCGCGACATGCAAAAGTGTGATCGAATGGATTAAAAGGCATAGGCGCTTGATCACGCTCTGGCGATGTTGTCACTGTTTGCCAAAGATTGGCGCGAGAGCCGTGTGTATGTGTGTATGAGCCATGAGCCAATTTCAGTGTGTTTCAATTGATGAAGTGTTTATTGGGTTTTAGCACAAATGAAACGAATTTTTCGTTTTGGACTTTATTTTAGAAATATATGCCACTCGTAGTTGCGATCGCGGTTACTACGGTTGCCACTGTTGCTGCCATGTGCTAAGTGTGTATTGTGATGCTGTCACCGTTTCGTTGTCACTTTCATTCGCCCGTTAATTTACATAACAAAAAAAGGCAGCTAAAAACCATAGCACGCGCTATTTTTCTTTCTTTCTCATTTCAATTTTTTTTTATTGATTACCTAATCGTTTTTATCACAATTTATGTATCTCTTCTGTGAACGGCGGGCCATTGGATTTTTCTTGTCACAATCGATATGCATTGAATGGTGGATTAGTAGCCCGATGCACTCGGCTCGATTCACACACACACAAACAGCCACACATGCGCCGCTTACGATGACTTTCTTTGACAATTATTCAATGAGTTTTAATTACACACGGCAAAGCGTCTAGAAAAGTGTGCATACAGAAGGCGAAGGAAAAAAAACCAGAGCGTAATTCATTTATTTGTTTAATCTTCAGAAAATCACCATTTCGACTTTTGAACGTGTTCGAAGTGGATATACACACATGTCTGGTTCTTGCTGTTGCAATGCAAACTCATAAATTTGTTTTATTTTTCGTTTAAGTTTCTCACGTTGCATTGCTCGCTGTTTTCGCATCGATCGAGAATCAGCTGTGTCTGTTCGATGCACTCGACAAGATGTTGTTGACTCCAACAACTTTTCAAAGAAAATTGCATAATTTATTTATTCATCTGTGATGATTGTTCCATGTGGCTGACAGCGAAGACGCTGTGCACGTACTTACTTCCAACAAATTGCCTAGGAACAAAGGCACTTCGGGCCATATCGATCGTCATCATTATCATCATCATCGTCGTCGTCGTCGTCGTCGTCATTGTCTTCGTTGGCGTCGTATTACAAAGCATCACGTACGTCTTTTGGATTACCAAATGGAATATTATGAGTGTCATAAATACCAGGCCCGTTTGTCTTTTGTGTGTACGGCGTATACTTGCAATATTTTTGTTCGACGCAACGGCCAATGGCTTTATAAGTCTAATAAAACCAGCACACGAACATTTATTATTGTTATTTAATAAAAATAAATTTTGATTTCGTCTTGTTGACGTCGCTGCCCGCTCACGACTCTTCAGCGTTCCCGGTATGCAAAGAGAATACTGAATGCCCGATATGCCGTAATATTTTGACGTGTAAATCATGTTCGTATGATTATTTTTCCACGACGAGGGAATTTGTTGGGCTGTTGAAACGTACATTTGCTTGTTCTAGCCTCATAAATCCAATTATGTGCATAGCACCGACATTTTATTTCATCAATTCTGTCTCATCGTTGTTGATTTTCATTCCATTCGAAGCACGGAATTGGTGCGATAAGATAGCACGTCAATGTTTCAATTGTTTACCAAAGAAAATGTTGAGCCTCATCGAGAAAGTACTTCTAATAGCGCAAGCCATTTCCTATATGGAAAACGAAGAACAGCACATCATTTTCGTCTTTCTTGACATGTTTACTTTGGTTAAGTCAAGCACAACACGAAAAAATGTGCGCACATTGTTGACGAAGTACCTTACTGATGATGACGGCCACTCACAATGATTGCGCTAACTGCAAATTAATTAGTATGCAGGAGTTCAACGCGGTGCGCACTATTGCACGCAGCATTTCTTTTCGTCTTCTTCTTCTTCTCCTCTTTCTCGGTGGTTTTTTCTTCTTCTTTCATCAAAACGGAAAATATAATAACATCGTCCAAGAAATGGCATTAGGTGAGCGCAATACATTTTTTGAATGTTTGAGTAGGTAACGCATCGCAAACAGCATACACAATGGTCAACTTGAAATTTGAAGAAATATTATTGAAGATAGAGAAAAAAAGCAAGCCAACTTGATGTGTGTTGAACAGAAATATAAAAAGAAAAGCAAAACAAAATAAACATGGTGATTGCAATAACAACTGTTGGCCAAGCGTTAGATATGTATTGGATTGCAGCCCATAAGCCATAACATACGAAGTACGGAAGACAGAAACACATCGACAGAGACAGAAACAAAAGAATTTTAATAAAAGAGAAAAAAAGGCAGCAACAACAACGAACTAATAATATTGTTATGTGATATTATGGCTGAACGTGAACACGCACAATATTTGAATGCATTGCCTCAAGTGCACACTGACCATTTTGATGAGAACCCAAGTTGAATAAATTTTTTATTGTCCATTATTTTGCAATTTTATTTCTTTATTTTTAGTTTGTTGCTCATAATTTTTGTTTCATTCGATTTTTAAATACCCCCATGGGTTTAATTAAAAAATGCCATTCAAATGAATATGATTTCAAAACGATGTGGAAATACCAAAATCCTAACCGACGCATGCGTTTATTTTGTTTTCGTTTCATTCTTTTTTCTCTATATAGAAAAATGATGGTGAAGCAACTGATGAAGAATCAACGAAACCACCGTTGACCGGAATACCACAGATCGACTACATTTGGGATCCAAACTTACCAAGAGAACTCAATGGGTAAACACAGAGAATTTTCTAAACAACGGATGTTGTCTGCACGATAACCTTGATTCTAACTGAAAACGAACAAAAAAATATCACACAAATTCCATTTTATAGATTCAATCTGTCCACGTATCCGTTCTTGAACTCCGTTCCCGACAGTGATGACATTGATTTCAAGTGCGACGGATTGCACGATGGCTTCTATGCTTCCATCAAATATAGTTGTCAAGTATGACATTGTTTGGTTGTTGATTTCGAAAAAGTTTTCCCTTTTTTTCTAGTAGAAATGTTCGGGTTTTTTTTTAAATCGAAACATCATCACCGTTTTTTGTAGCTTTATCATCATTGCGTTTATGGAATTCGACATGATTTCTTGTGTGCCAACTTCACCGCTTTCGATCAGAAATCGTTCATCTGTCACTTTGTGTCCGAGGTCAATTGCAAAGCATCCACCAAATACTGGTTTAGGTAGATCAATTTATCGAATTTGAATCCATGTTCGTGCGAAAGTTGCAACGTATTCAATGGTTTTTTTAGAAATGATGCTTTGTACAAGGCGACAACCACTACATCAACAACGACAACAACAATCGCACCGCCTCCAACGACCAGCCAAGCACCCGAACGTCCACGTCGACCGGAGGGAAGACGACCATTGCGCAGAAGAAGACCTCAACATGAATACTACTATGATGATGAAGACTATGACGACGATTATGTCGAAGAACGAATGAATCGAAGGTTTGTGTTTTTATGATCAATTTTTTCGTTTCGCTTGTTTTGCATAAATATTAGCATGTGTGTGTGTGTGTGTGGAGATTTGAAAGAAAAAGAGATTAATTTCAATTTTATTTTCACTTAAAATCAATGACTTTCATCAAAAATACAGAAAAAGCGATTAAATATCCGAAAAACAATCTATTAACTATGATAAATTTTAATTATAACCTTGTGAAATCGGCTATTTTTCAAATTGGCTGTGAATATTTTATTCAAAATTCGAGATAATTAGCGGTGAAAAGTTTAAAAGAGGGAACAAAATCCACAGCAACAAGTTCAAAATCTTCCAAAAAAAAAAAAATTAACAATTTATTTCAATTTCACAGACGTAAAACGAATCGAAATAGAAATCGTCGTCCATCCGAGTATGATGATGATTATGATAGTCCGCCACGAACAAACTACAAAGATGACGAAGATGATTACTCGTACGAACAGAGATCAACGCACCGTCATCGAAACCGAAACCGGGATAGTGACGATGACTTTGAATATGATCGGCGAAGCTATAGAAATCGAAAACGACCAACCGAGAATAAAAGACAACATGATGATGATCGACGAAATGAAGACACTGACGAGCGTCGACCGCATTCCGACAGCCGAAAACACCAGCACGATACAACAACCGAAAGTGGATTAAAACGCAAGTTTAATGACCATCGAACATCAGCGAACGATGATCGAAAGGCACACAACGACGATATAAGTTCATATGATGATCGACGTTCTTTGGGCGAAGATGATAGACCTCACTCGGACGACAGAAGAACAATGCATGACGAGCGCCGAAAGGTGAACGATGATCGACGACCGGCGGATGATGACAGAAGGAGTTCGATGGATGAAGGTCGACGAAACACACACGACAAACGGCGACCAACATCCGAACGAAGACCACAATACGAAGATGATTACGAGGATTTGCCAAAAAAACAGGGCAACCATGATGATGAGGATTACGATGATCGTTCATACAAACGGCCACATGGTAACAAACCGGAAATTGTTCCAAAAGTGCGATCGTCAAGTGCAACCTCATCGATTTTCAATCGACCACGTGCACCACCGAAAATCAGTCGTCCCGTTCCGAACAATGAAAAGAAAAAGTATGAGTACGTACCACAGAAATCGGAAAAGTCAACAACAGCAGCGGCGCCAGCAACCGACGAGGAACTCTACGATGAGTATGACTACGAGGGAGAAAAGATGGCACACATAGATATTAAACACGAACCGGCTGATAGTAAAAAGGGACAACCGGCTCCTTCTAGTCAACGCGATCAGCGGCCGGGACCACTCAGAGTCGAACTGAAACAAGAGAAACTTTCGTCCACCTTCAATACCGATGAGTTGGAGGATGAAGATTTCGATATAAAAGATAAGGTGACATCGATTAAACCGCAACGCTCAACATCGCCAAAAGTTGAACCAGCCCAACAGCCACAGCAGCAGCAGCAGCAACAACATCCACAACGACCAGCCAAGCCAGATTACTTTGAGAAGCCGAGAGAAACGCCGCTTAAATCGAATGAAAGACCAGCATTAGATTTCAATAAGGATGAATATATTCCGGACTCGGATCTAGGTGATTATCCCGATGAAGAAATTGACGATCGGTTGACAAAAGAAGAGGAAATTCGTCAACCGGAATCGGTACCAACGCGAACTGAATTCCATCCAAATCCAGTACCAATCCAGGAGCATCAAATGAAAGTGCCGGAACCGATCGCCATTCCAAAACAAATCAAAGAGGAAATTCTGCCAAAAATCCCATACGCACCACCGCAACCACAGCAGGATTTGCAATTCAAGACGAAGTTCCATCGATTGTCACCATCGAGCATACGAACGGCAGCCGAAAGCTTCCAGAAGCCAAACACTGAACCCGAAGAGCGTGATGTCTATACCATTTTGGCGAAAGACACAATTTCATCGATTCGTGAACCATCCGGTTTCAGGCCCGTCAGTTATAATGAACAGCCACACGATTTGGATGCGGACACAAATCCAAAGAATCGACCATTCGTACGCATTATGAAACGACCATTTTTGCCAAGTCGCGGCGGAAGCCCATATTTACCGAGGGGCTTGAAACCGGTTGGCGCTGGCATCACAACATCTGAATACACTACCGAAAATTCATACGGTAGTTCAAAATCATCGTCGTCATCGTCGGCGGCGGCGGAGGCCATAGGCAACTTGCAATTGTACGGACACCAATTACCAATTTCCCGTACAAGCCCAAACAATGCGTACGCACAGCCACAATCACAATTTTCAATGCAAATGCATGCGCCGAGCATTCTAAGCGAGATGCGAACAACCACACAACAGCCACAAATCGAACCTCCGCGCAGTCCGCTCGATGAAATTTTCAACAGTGATTACGATGTCACGCTAAACGATGCTTTGAATCCAACATTGAAGCCACTGTCACAGAGCCATGAGTCTCCCATAGGATTTTCATTAAATAAGTATGATCGCGCAAATCCCTATGCACGATCAGATGTATCGCACGCGCCCTCGCAATACCGTTCGACTGCCATTCCCATTCCCATTCACTCTCGACAAGCACCGCAAACGCCAATACAACAACAGCAGCAACAGCAACACCAACACCAACAGCAACAGCCACAACAAAAGCAGCAACAGCAACAGCAACAGCAACAGCAACAGCAACGACAGCAGCCTCAACAATCTCAACAATCTCAATACTACGATGACGAAGAATACGATTATTAGTAAACTAAAATGAAAGTAGCTCGAAAAAGAAAAATAAAAGAAATTTTCAAAACAAAGCAATTTTAATTTATGTTTTAGGATTTAAAGTGGATTTTGAAATGAAATAAAAAAAAAGCAGACAGACGATTAAAAATCCATATGATTAAATCGAATTACGAACAAACCGATGTAGCAACCGCCGAAATCAATCACAGAGTTGAAGATGGAAAACAACAGTAGTAGTGGCCGTAATAGCATGAGAGTATTTCAATCTATTAAATCCGTTGTCCCGTTTGTGTAAATATTTTTAAGACAATTTCAATGAGAGCGATGGAGAGAAAGAGGAAACGAAAATTAATGTTTTTTTTTTAAAAGAATACTCAACCAAGGTGATAAACGATGTATCGTAAATCGTATGTAATAGTTTTTTTTTTTTGTTTTTCTTTTTGTTTTAATTTTCGGTGCAATTTGTCAAATCGAGTGACATATCGAATGAGAGAGAATGATGTAGAAATGGAGAAAATAGGACAGAGACCGATGAAATAAAATAAAGAGATGAAGAAACAAAAAAAACACATAATCATAAAACGATACAAAGAAGAATTTGCGTTGCTATTTAAGATACGCAAATCGTTAAGAAGTGCGATTCATTGTATGTGTGATCGCGCGCTCAACCAATAAACTGAAAACAATAGAATTGAACATTATTTTAATGTAAAATCTAATGAAAAAAAAACGATGGACGATAAGTAGACGTAGAGGATAAAATACCTAAATGTAATGATATTTAATAAAAAGAAGAAAAAATCAGACAAAAAAAAGCACACACACGCGCGTTTTGCATAACTCTCATTTTTGTTTTTGTTTTTATTGGAATTGATAAACAGACGTGTGAAAGCTAGATAAGGTAATTTCATTTTTTTTCTTGTGATTACAATTTTAATAATTTTAGCAAAAAAAAAACAACTGAACCATTTCCAATACATGCATCGGTTTCAAGGGGAACGAAACTCTGCTGTAACCAATCAAATCAGAGTGTGAAAACGAGTGAATGAAAACAATTATTGCTGTTGGGTTGAATTGCCATTCCACGTATTATTCTCATCGTCGGAGTCTTTTGTATCACTTAAACGATGAATATTCGTACCGGCACCGCCTACTCGTTTGTATGGTCCACTCTGTTGTTTCACATCGGCGGCCTCAGCTGACGTTGATTGCTTTGCATTATCGAATCGAAGAATGCGCTTTTTGGCCCTGAAATCAGAATTGATTTTTATTTTTTTGGTTGATTTTTCTTCATGGCATCTTTGTTCTTGAGAAATGATTTTAAAATTTAATTTTTATCAAAGACTTACTGTTCATTATGGTTAAGTTCCTCTTCATTGGCCCGCTTGGCAGCGCCGCTTTCAGCTCGGTTGCGTGTAAACACCCAATTTCTGACATATGAAAAGGCGGCCAACATTGGGCTGACTACACCCCAAAATATGGTTGTCAACATTGAGAAGATGCCGTAGCTCGTTTCGATGGGTAATTTTCTGCTGGGCGCCTTATCCAATGGTAAAATAAGAATCACTGACGATGGTACCAATCCCAAATCGAATAAACTCTTTGCATTATCATCCGCACTGAATTCATGACGTGGAAATGTTGTAGCCAATGCAAAGCCTCTTATCACACTGCCCACAATTACATTCTCTTCCACATAAGATCGTACAACTGAAAAGAGTTCGTCGCGTCCGAATGTTTTCACATCAATTTCGCCATCGGGTTTTTTGAATTGAATGCGAGCTACTGCACTATCAGATACAACTGGTGGCAATGGATTGGACACTGTGCTTGAGCTAGCTTCAGGTTTTGGTGCAGGAGGAACATTACTGAAACGCTGTGCACGTTCGGCTTTGTCGAGTGCAATTTGTTCTAAAATTCTTTTACGAGCGGCTTGCTCTTCAATTTTATCCCGTTTGCGCTCTTCTTGTAACTTTTTCATTTCACTTTCTTCTTGACGCTGTTTAAAATTCTGTAAATCTTGGCCTACTCTTCGTCGATTTAGCTCACGCTCTTTTGCCAACTAGAAAAAGTAATGCAAATTTGGATCCGTGAAATCATTGTCAAATTATTCGTTTTTTTTTCAGTAATATTAACTTACGCGTGCATCTTCTTCTTCCTTTTCTTTGCGTTTTCTCTCAATTAATTCCTTGGCGCGGTTTAATTTCTCCTCATTTATTATTTGTGGAGTGGAACCGCTGGAGGTATCCTCTGTGGAAGCAGCTTCAGTTTTATTTTCCTTTGGACGTTTATAACAGACACCATTCTCACATACAATCTCTGTGTCTCCTTCATTCGATGCCGATTGTTCACCTAAAAACAAGTCCGATTTAATGAATTGCAATGAGAGCGTGAAATTTCCATCGGTCTCTTCGATGACCTACTTGCAATCAGATTCGCCGAAGCGGCCGCACTGCTGCTGTCGCTCGGTTTTGGTTTCGTACCATTGAGTACTCCATCAATTTTGCTATTCAGTTCATCTACGGTTTTTGTAACTCCAGTGACTATTTCGATCGGCGCTCCATTTTTGCCAATGAAAAATAGCGATGGCAACGGCACTAATTTATCTATAAGAAAACGAAGCGATTCAGTATTAACAAATTATTCATAAATTGTCAACGAAATCAATTGTTGATTATTGTGGGAAACCCTACATATTGCAGCAAATTGCATATATGCTTCGCTATCACTCTGCACCCGAATAGCCACAAAGTCATCGCTTTCCAGTTTTGTTCGTACAATCTCGTTGTTAATTAGTTCTGTGAATGCCGTTGACAGTTCATCGGTGCCTATTCGGTCAAAGTATACAATTATGAATGAGATAAATAAAATCGATGCACAAAATGTGCACACAATTGGCAATATTAATGAGTTTTCGAGGTAAAAATTATGTCATTATGGAATGTTCTGGAGCAAAAGCATAACACAAACATTTCAATGCTAAATACATGACGTGTTCAATACTTGCCTTCGCAATAAACAACGAATATTGAATTCTTTGCCTTTGACAAAGCAACCGCCTCAGCAATATTTCCCGAAAACCAATTCATTTTATCAATTTATTGATTGCAACTTAAATCACGTCTGAATGGAATTATTGAAAACACACAATGTGAAAATTGTTTTTGCTGGGCCGCACTCGGTTCGTGTTTTTCTTTTATTACTAAACCTTTGCTTTGTCTAACAATTTCATTCACACGTAAATTGTGTGTGTGTGTGTGTGTGATGATAGACGTCAGTGTCAGCACTGTAGACCAAATGAAGTTGTCTTCGTTCGATTTTGGATCAAGTCTTCGATATAGGTACACCAGTTTTTGAAACCATAGGTTTGAAATGCATGGTAGCAGCTGAATCGATATGGAAATTAAATAGATTGAAAATTCATACTCATGAGTCTTCAGTTTGAATTGTTTTTCTTCGAAAATTCCTAGGCAAAATTAAACTGTTAGAAAATTTAAAAAAAAAGGAAATTAAATCAAAAATTCAAATTTTCATTTTTCTACCACTAGAAATAGAATACAATTCAATTAACTAAATCCTTAATTTACCCTAACAACACTCACTCAAATCCATTGCAATAAAAAGAAATATGCGATTTTAAAAATGCGTAACAAAAAAAAAATTAATTCAAGGATTATTAATAAACCACATCCGAATGATGCGAAAAACTCGAACTCTATTAAAATAATGTGCAAATGTCGACTGTTCAAAAAGAGCAACACGAAAAAAATGTGAACATATGCATAAAAAACTAATAAACATTATGCAAAATTAAGTGGTTAGAATATCACGCCAGACAAAAAAAAACTGTCGCATTTTAATTGATCGACACAAACTATTTGCAAAATGAGTGAACAACACGAAAAAAGTGAATGCGACAGTAAATTGAATTGGACAACAACAAATTATATCTTGAAAAATGCTAAATACGCTTCGCTGCTATGTGTTCATCCCTTTTTTTTGCAAACACACGCATGCGAAAAATAATCACATTAAAATCTATTTGGCCTTAATAGGTATGCATAATGTAGCATTTTATTGTTATTTTATTGCTGATTGAGAAACAGGTTACACGTATGATTATATTTTATTTATTACGCATTAAATTCACAGTCACAGATGATTCTGGTTCGGGTTAAGATATGCTATTTTATCGGAGGGTATCAAATAATTATCGATGCATATTGATGTACATATTGTTAGGGGCGGTGTGAGTTGTGAATGAACCACCAATGGATCGGCCCAAGACACATCAACGGTTGTGTGGTTAGAGATTTCAATGAGCATTTGAAATGCGAGTTTGTGCCGTCGACGCCGCCGCCGTTGTAACTGTTTGGCGGTTTGGTGTAACATTTTCGGCCAAATACAAACACAATTGTGTTCCATGGAAATGAATACGAATGGCGTGTGATGAATATTAAAACGATTGGTTATGATTATTATTTGCATTTGTTCTGTGTAAAATTTGCACAGCATATCAATCCATATGTAGATATGATACGTTTTGCTACACATTCAAGCGTTGAAGTCACAATCGCACCATATTCCATGTGTTTGCATCGCATCGCGAGCTAGTTTGGCGAAACTGAGAGAGTGAGGGTAAGTGTGAATGGGAGGAAGAAAAACATGACACAGAGTCGATCACACTGTATCGATATGCATACAAATATAATATACGCAAAGCAATCAAATCAGTGTGGAGCGTTACAAATAGGACTGACGAGCCATTTTACAGCCAACCAAGATGAACGACATCTGGGGTGGTTGATTTTTTTTTATGCGTTATGAATTCGTTTTCATGTTTTTCTTTCGGGCTTCTGTATTCTGTATGGCAACAATAACAAGCATTTATTTGATGTGCTCGCGATTGTTGGCGACACACTTCAAACCGGATAAAATGGAACTAATCTTTGCTATTACAACTATTTTGCATGTTCATGTTTTTCTTGAGTTTCTTGGGCCCGAGTTTTGGGAATCGGCAAGTGCAATTAGAGTATGGCAACCGAAAATGGTTCATTCGATAAATTGAATTATTGGTTACTAATGGTAATATCAATTTAAACAAATTTAGCAACATATGGAGTGCTTTTTTTTTCTTCTCCCTTTGCCATATGGAAACAATTCTAACACATTGCTGTCGTTTTACATCACAGTTTACATTTCATGTGTGTTGCAAATCATTCGCTCAAAGATATACATAAATTTGGAGGAAAAACAAATAGTGTAATGCAGTGACTTGACTTCTAACACCGTTTCTTGATTGCACACATGAAGGAAAATGGCACGAAGATGAGAGGTGTAGAGGGAGCGAGCGAATGTTAGCGAAAAAAGAGTGACATCAACAATGACAATTGTTGCCTTGGATTGACAAATCTCGCAATAGGAACTTCAAACGATCCGACGGTAAGTGGAAAAAAGTGACGGAAAACAACTAGAATAGAGAGTGATGGAGAAAAAGACGCCAACAAGAACAGGGAAACAAATCGACGAGGTTTTTTTTGCATTCCAATTGATTTGATGTGTATCCGCAGTGCAGCATCCTCGTCTATCATTACTATTAAGTTTTGTTCGTATTTATTTTGTGCGATTGTTAGCCATTTCCATGCCTCGAAAGCATCTAAATGCAGATTGTTCGGGAAATGAAAAACTATGTCAATTTCCACATTCGCCGCAGCTCTGCATTATCACAACATGTACTTCATATGCTTTATTTTGTAATTTTCGTTTAGATTGATAGTGTCGCCATCACAACTTTCCGCAGCACCCAGATCGATCGATGCGGCTTGGGGCAATGGAAAAACGAAATTCACACCAGTATCTAGCATTTATTTGTGCAAATGAACAGTAAGGCCTCAACACAGTAGATAGCATTCCATCCAAGCCCATCATATTTGATCATTTCATATTCATAAGCAAATAACCGAGTACGAATACCCAACGCGTAAATAGCAGATCACAGCAGTAGACATGATTTTGAATAAAATTACGCAAAATATTTATCAAGTGCCATTGAATTGTACAATTAGAGAATTATGTGCAATCTATAGGACGACATGCATATCCTACTTTCTACATGAAAGAAGCATTTGTGCCAAAGTAAAGCGATTCCAAAGAATGTGAACACACACTTTGCCGACCACCCGCTTCCTCCATCTCTCTCTCTCTCTCTCTCTCTCTCTCTTTCTGCGGCATTCACAGCCACCCGCCTGTGATAGATACATCAACAACATCGCATCCAGAACACATTTTGCCACAAACAAACTCTCGGCTCATGTACAAAACATTTAGACATTTATACCGACTTTTAATTTTTAATCAAAGTTGTTGTTTTTATTCCACAGAAAACTTTCGTCAATTTTCAGAATTAGAGTTTGCTTGATGTTGCTGGTGTGTCTTTCTCTCCCTCTTCCTCGATCTCGTTCTCTCATTCTCAAATAGAGTATGTGTGTGTACATTAGAGCAGTTCATTTTAACTCGTAAAATGGTCGTGAATTGTGATTCATTTTAATATCTGCAAGGGAAATTTAATTAGAATTCAAGCTACGAAATGAATGGTAACCGCATTTGGCAAAATGTTTAGTATTTTGCATATTATATAATCACCGTTTTTGCTCACTCATTCTCGCTCCGTCTTTATATCATGTCTTGTTGAGAATGAGAAAATGAGAGATGGAGAATCAGTTGGCTTCCTCTTTCTCCTCCTCCTTATCATCATCATCGCCATCATCCACAAGCTGGTCCGCTTTTTCCTTTTCTTGATTGCATCAACTTGTTCATTCATTTTGCCTATTCGTCTGCACTGATAGAATGAGCATCGAGTGTGGTGTCGACGTTGACTATGTTTAACGCAGTTGTAGGTGCTATAATAAGGCGCTGTGTGTTTTCAAGCAACCAAATGAAAAACAAAGCCAAATCGCTGTTGCAAGATCGCAGAAAAATAATTGAAAATTAGCATGATTAAAACATTGTACATGATTTTTGTTACTAACACAACATACATGATAAACGAGAATAAATTGACGTTGGAAAATCGGGTGTGTATGTGTGTGCGCGTGTGTATCTTGCTGTAAAACAAGAACATACGATGTGTTTACGGTGGAATTTTTCGCAACGTCATAAAGACGCACACAATCTTCACCGAGCAAAATGTGCAGTACAATTGTTTGCTTTCGTTTACCGCATCCACCATTCGCTAAATATCTATTTTATTTTTAATCAAAATACACTTTTACTGAGATCCTCCCCCATTTTGCCGTTGCCCATGTGCCGAATGAAAAAGGAGCTGCAAAAAAGTTGAAGAAGGTTCGATGGTATGGTGTGGGCAACGTAACAAAGTAATATCATTAAAATGGCGATGGGAGCATTTAAAAAGAGCAGAACGTCGTGTGGAGCGACGAGAGAGAGAGAATGCGAGTAATGGAAAAGAGCAACACACTCATTTCAACCGAAGTCAGTTTTAATCTGGAGCTAATTCCGTCATTTTCACTTTATGACTATCATTAACAATGTCTCATACTCCCATTTTCAGTAAATGCGAGCATAGCGTCGTCTCTCGTCATCCAATATATCGTTTCGGCTGTGGCTGCTCGACTCTCCTTCGTTGTTACACAGTAAAACCGAGAGAGAAAGCGAGCGAAACAAGGCACACACACACACACAATCAACATTGACTGCCACCCCCTAAAATGTGCTCCGGCATTGTATTTTAACACACACAAAAAGTTATAATTTCCTTCATTCCGCGTTGTTTTTCACTTCATTTTCTATTTTCTCGTCGCCTGACATCGTTTTCAACATTTCTCACTCGCTCGCTAGCTCGCTCACTTCATTGACTATGGAAACTTTCTGCGGATGTTTTTGAATTCTCTCTCCGTTCTCTCACTTGTCACACAGAAACACTAGACGCATTCGATATTGTCGTGTGCTCATCGTTTCTCGTCTTCTTCTTCTTTTTTCTGTTTTTTTTCTCTGTTGCCGCCACCGCCGTTTGCAGCTCCTGTCGATTCGTTCATTTGCTCAGATGCAATGTGCATAGTATACATCAGTCGTGCGTAAAAGAGACCCTGAAGAGACAATTGTGAAAACAAACAATGCATAAAATGTTCAACGAAAATGCTATTTCACCATATTATTTGCATAAAGCAGAAGCGAAATAAACAAAGATCCAAAAGCTCAAGCGAGAGCGAGAGAGAAAGATAGAAAAAGAGCGCCGCTGGAAAAAGCGATGTTGATGTCATGGGTTTTCGAGTGTGGATGCGACTCTTGGCAATAAAAGTGTGTGTTCCATGCACACTGGATCTCTGGAACTCTATCTGAATCCACTATCATCACTCGCTCATTCG